AGCTAGGAAGAAGGTGCAATTGTGATTAACAATAATGATTTAAAGTCCAATTCCTTTGAATTTGAAGTCAGCTAGGCAGCTTAATTTGAACACCTTAGTGTGCCTTTTATTTTTTATTTTTGCCCCCACCCTCCTGCCCAGTGTGCCTTTTAGACCTGGCAACTTTCTCGAGATCCTCTTCCTCCTGCGCCCCCCCACCCCCTTCTCTCAAAAAGTAGAGTTAAGGTTGGATCTGGGCCCTCTGCTTCAGCCACCCAGCAGCTTGAGCTGGCCCTGTAGCTTGTCTCCGCCTTATTCTGCAGTATAGGCTCCCAGTAGTCTTCTCAAGCACTAGAGATCATCCTCATGCACCTTGGAAGAGCAGAAACAGACTGAGACAGGGCCTCACTCTTAGATATATGTGCAGCGGGCAGAGTAGACACCCTGCAAAGCCTTTTTTCTTCCTAAAGTCTTCCCTGGCTCATGCCTTCTTTAGAATTCTGGCAATGGAGCTGCATCCTCCAACCCCAATTTGAGAACCCTTTATGTGCCAGGTGCCATTCTAGACACAAAAGATAAAAAGATAAGCAAAACATTGTGCTGCCATTAAGCAGCTCACAGTTTGTTATGACACTTCTAATCACCTTGGAGAAGATACTGTTTTAAGGTGTTTTTGTCCATGTGGACTTTGGTGAGAATGAAAAGTATGGAACTGGTTTTCACTTATAGAGTAGGGAATACTTGGGGTGGGCAAAGAAGGAAGAACTGCCTGGGAAGCTGTAACTGATAGATGGGAAAGAGTTTGGCCATTTTTGTTAAAACAAGTTTATTTATTTAGGCTGGGCGCAGTGGTTCACACCTTTAATCCTAAGTACTTTGGGAGGCTGAGGTGGGAGGATTGCTTGAGGCCAGGAGTTTGAGGCCAGCTTGAGCAAGAGCTAGACTCTGTCTCTGTAAAAAATAGAAAAATTATTCAGATATGGTGGCACATGCCTGTAGTCCCAGCTACTTGGGAGGCTGAGGCAGGAGGACTGCTTGAGCCCAGGTATTAGAGGTTGCTGTGAACTGTGATGATGCCACTTGTACTCTAGCCTTGGTGACAGAGTGAGACTCTGTCTCAAAAAAAAAAGTATACTATGAATATGACAGTTTCCCTCCCTCTCCTTCCTCTCCATTGGTCTAATTTTATCAATATATCATTCTATAGTTTCTTTATGTATATATAAGCCAACATGAACATATATTCTTTTTTACCTATCCCCCACCCCCATTTTTACACAATCATGGCACACTCTATTCACTATTGTATATATCTTTTTGAAAAATTACTTAATATCTTATGAAGACTTTTTTCCATGTAAGTGCTTAGAGCTTCCTCATAATTTTATATGTTCATATGATACTATTTATGGATGTATCTTGTTTAACACATTCACTGCCATAGGAGTTATATTGCTACTTTTGAGCACAGGGCTTTATGAAGCATATGTAACTCACAAATCTCTTCACCTTGGGAGCCACAAGAACTAGTTCTCAAGTTGCATATAATTCACACACAGAAAACAATAAAAAAATAACAAAATCTTCATTAAATTAGAAAGGATCATTTTGTTTGTGAAGTTTTTATTCTATTTTTGTACTAAAACACTGTGGTCCCAAGGAAAAAATTTTTTTTTCTAGAGTGGCAGTCAATGTGTTAATCAATAAGCCCTATATCCAGGAACATTGAGGTATTTGCTGACCTTTTGCTATTACAGTCACAACTGCAATGAATATTCTTCTATATACATTATACATGATTTAGCATGTGTGGTAATGTATTTATAAATTCCTAGTAGTGCCATTGCTGCATCAGAGGCTATAGGCATCTGTAATTTTGTTATATAAGCCAAATTGCCTTGCATAGAGTATTAACAACTTACACACTAATCAGCAGAGGCTGTTTCCTCACAGCTCCACCTACGGAATATTTTTCATCGTTTTGGATTTTTAGCAATTTAAAAGGTGAAAAAGCACTTGCAGTGAAGTTTAAATTTGTTTTTCTTATTATTGAGGTCATGCATCTTACAGTTGAGGCATTGGTATTTCCTTCTCTGTGAAATGCCTTTTCATATCCTTTGTTCATATTTCTTTTGCTAATTTTTTATTTGCCAATTTCTAGGAGCTCTTTATATATTAAGAAGTTACCATTTGTGATATGAGTTGTAAATTTTTTCCCAAGTTTTTTTTTTATTTTAACTATTTTTCTTTTCTTTCTTTCTTTTCTTTTTCTTTTGCTTTCTTTTTTCTTTTTTTTGCCATGAGGAGTCTTGGTTCTTATATTGTTAAATTTATCAGTGTTTTTTTAATGGCTTTTGCATTATCCTGGCCCACTTTTGATGACAGAAAATCATTTATTCCTCTTTCCATGGTGCCTCTTTCATTACTCTTTTCCTCCTCCAATCTTGCATTTTGATACCTTTTCCCAAGTTTGCATTTTTTATTCTTGGTGACAGAGAAGCCCTCGATAGTTTTGTTAGATTTTAGTGGTCTGAAAAATCCTCATTTTCTTGGTACAGGCACTCTGGGAAATTGTTTGGAGTTTCTTATAAAACTAAACATGTAATTGCCATATGACCCAGCAGTTGCATTCTTGGGCATTTATCCCAGAGAAATGAAAACTCAAGTTTACACAAAAACCTGTACATGGCTGCTCATAGCAGCTTTGTTTGTAATAGCCCCAAACTGGAAACAACCCAAATGTCTTTCAATGGGTGAATGGTTAAACAAACTCTGGTACATGCATAGCATGGAATACTACTCAGAAATCAAAAGGAATGAACTATTGATACATCAATAACATAGATGAATCTCTATTCTGTTGGGTGAAAAAAATCTAATCCCAAAAGGTTGCATACTGGTTATTTTATTTATATAACATTTTTGAAAGGACAGAATTTTAGAAATGGTGAACAGATTAGTGGTTGCCAGGGTTTAAGGGTGGGAAAGGGGATGGGAGAGAGGTAGGTTTGGTTATGATAGCAGCACAAGAAATCTTTGTGATGATGGAATTTTTCAGTGTCTATGGTAGTGGACACATGAACCTATACATGAAACAATTGTATAGAACCAAACACACACACACACACAAGTGCAAATAAAGTGGGGAAATCTGAATAAGATGAGTGAATTGTATCAATCAGTATCCTGGTTGTGATATGATAACTATAGTTTTGAAAGATGTTGTTGCCATTGGAGAAAACTGGACACAGGGTACACAGGATCCTGTACATGGGATCTCAATAAAAATTTCAATTAAAAAAAATAAATCCCCATTTCTGCTAATACCAGATTCACCAAAAGACACTACCTAGTACAAGTGGCTGGTGCTCTTTTATGTTGGGACTAGCAGTGGATCAGCTGGGGGACCTAGTGCTGGCAGTGGAGTGGGGGGGGTGGGAGCCGAACGATGCCTTGGGTTCTATCCCTGCACTCTGGCCTGTCAGGCCAGATGAAGATCCAAGAGCACGGACCAGCATTTTCTGGGACAACGCAACTGGGTGGCCCATCATGCAGCCTGTTTGAGAAAAAACAGTGGCTTAAGCTCCAATACGTCAGAACAGAGAGCGGTTGGCGTTGGTGGTTGTGGGCAGGCGTGGGGAAGTGTTTCCAAGATGTGCTGTGGCATGAGTTGGTTTGTCCTGATCATGCCCAGCATGTGTGCCGTGGTCACAATGTATTTTGCTATACTTTGTGCTGTCCCGTTGGCTCTGGAATGAGACAGAGCATGGCCTGGCATATGGTTCTCAGAGTATGGTAGGGAGATACCCAAGACCCAGCTAGGGAGTCTCGGAGGTCAGAACTATTTTTGTAATACTTAAACATTATTTGCAAGTCATTCTCATTCTCTTACAAGTGTACAGTGGGGTTTTCCAGAGGCTACATGACGTGAAATAGCAACAGATTAAATGCAGAAGCGGATATGAGAATCCAGCTGTTTTCTATTAAAGCAGACATTAAAAAGACGTATGTAAAGCAATGACACTCTTTCTCATAGATATTTTATTTAAAATGTTACTTATGTTATTTTTAAATGACTTAATATTGAAGAATTTTCTTAGTTTGGGTTACATAAACAAAAGCTCTTTGGAGTCCTCAGTAATTTTTGAAAGTGTTAAAGCTTTTGACACCAAAAAGTTTGAGGACTGTCGCCTTGGCAGGAAGCAGTAGGCTTCAGTTCTAGTCAGGGCTTTGCTTTGTGACCATGGGCAAGTCATTTAGCCTCTTTAATTGATTTCTTCTTCTGTAAATGCTCATGGTTATTCTGCTTTATACCTTAAAGAACAGTGAGGTAATCATATATGAATGGGTTTGAAAATATAATGTGCTGTACAAATATAGGGGAGTTTAATAGTTACCTGAGTAAACTGATGCTGAAAGAATATGTTTCTGGCATGTTAGCTGACAGTCTGTTTACTTGTTAAATTTTTTTATTTTAGCATTTCCTAGAAGCTTCCTTATACATTTTATTTCTTTTTTTCAGTTTCTTAACATTTTAATTATTTTTTTTAAGTCAACAGAATGTCATAGCACATTTTAATTATTTTTTAAAAGTTAAGTAAATATAATACATCTTCCAGCATTTTCAATCAAGAAGGGATTTATATTCCTCATACCTTGAAGTTGTATGAGAAGGTCAGGAGCTCTACCTTGGAGAAACCACTTACTAGCTGTTCCGACTTTTGGAAGGTTATTTAACCTCTTTGTGTCTTGGCTTCCTCATCTATAAGATGGGGCTAATAATACCTCACTTTCCAGGGTAATTATGACTATGAAAATAATGCACAGGAAGTGCTTGGCACATAATAGATCCTCCATAAATAATTACTGCAGTGATTGTCATTGACATATAGCAAAAGATGTAAGATTAAATTTAAGTCTCTTGCCCTGTCTTCAGTGAACTTATTAAACTACTTTATTTACAAGTTTATTAGCAGCAATTTCCATTTCATTTCATTTCATTCTTTTTTTCTCCTTTGAAGGGCTATTGAGTGGCCAGACTTCTCCAACAAATGCCAAATTGGAGAAATTGGATTCTCAGCAGGTGTTGCAGCTCTGCCTCCGATATCAGGATCACCTGCATCAGTGTGCAGAGGCTGTTGCTTTTGATCAGAATGCTTTGGTGAAACGAATCAAAGAGGTAATGTACTGCAGGCAAATAACATGGCTGACTCATTACTGTGATTCCCTGCGAGTCCTGATTCCATTTCCAATGCACAGGATAGATAGTTATCCTGGCTTTATGGGAAGTAGTCATTTTCTGGCTTAGGACTTGACATTCGTCCCCATTGCTTTGGAGAAATTATCATACCTAGCAGCAAAATGCGGTGGTGGTAAGAGTGATTCACAGAGCTAGACTAATTTGGAGTTTGAATCCTTCATATGCTTGGGCAAGTTGCTTCACTTCTCTTTGTTTTGCTTTTCTCTTCTGAAAAATGGACCTAATAGTAGCAGCCTACCCCGAGGGTTGAGCGATGATGAAATTGCTAGTATGTGTAATGTCCTGCCACATTAATTTTCTCTAGCTACATTCTATCTCTGAGTTGACTTTAGCTGTTTCCTGTATGTAAGTTATATTTTATCTCCCAAGAGGTTATCATTTCTTTTAAAGTAGAAGGCTTGACATCTCCCTCATTATATTTTTCACTGTGTCAGTATATGAAGAGGTTCATTGATTCTTACTGGTTATATGGAAACAGTTACACCTACTTAACCCACAAGGTTTTAGAAAAAAAAGAAGCAATGTAATTCACGTGAAAGAACTTAGTAAACCAAAGAGCATGGTACAAATGTTGTGTAATTATCAGTAACTGTAAGTAGGTGTGTCTTTTGAGCACTTAAATGTATCAACTGGGCTGCTGCATGGCACAGTTCTGGGGGCACCAAGGAATAAGTAAACACATCTTCCAAAGTTTTCAATCAGGATTATTTTCTGAAGTTTTCAATCAAGAAGGAATTTATATTCCTGATACCCTAAAGTACTGTAATGCCAAGGAAATGTCAAGAGCTCTATCTTGAAGAAACCAGTTATGTGAATGGCATTCTTCAGATTTGTTTTAACAAAATACTTCCTCCCTCCAGAATGGCCCTAGTCTTTAACTCTCGTGAGAGAAGAAGAGGGACATGAGGAAACACACAAGTGATGGGTCAAGAATCACTGAAAAGTAATTTTCATTTAGTAATAGAGGTAGCTCATCCTTGAGATTACAAAGTAGTCATTAGGTATAGTGACAGATTTAAATTTGCCAACACCTCCAACTTTTAGTACTTTCATAAATGTATGCATATACTCTTCTCTCATGGATTAAATGCTATTATTTGGAAAGCCAGTAAACATGACGTTTCATATTGCTTGTCATTGATGTGGCCTTGCAAGTATTATAAACTTATTATATTGCGGTCTATAGAAATTTAATTCTCAAACATGACTGTTCATTAGCATCACTTGGGTTTTTTGTTTGTTTAATACTGAGTTCTCCCCTCCCTCCAGTAGGTCTAGGGTGTGGTCTGTGAATCATCATTTTTTTTTTTGAGACAGAGTCTCGCTTTGTTGCCCAGGCTAGAGTGAGTGCCATGGTGTTAGCCTAGCTCACAGCAACCTCAAACTCCTGGGCTCAAGCAATCCTGCTGCCTCAGCCTCCTAGGTAGCTGGGACTACAGGCATGCGCCATCATGCCCGGCTAATTTTTTCTATATATATTAGTTGGCCAATTAATTTCTTTCTATTTTTGGTAGAGACGGGGTCTCACTCAGGCTGGTTTCGAACTCCTGACCTTGAGCACCGCGCCCGGCCTGTGAATCATTATTTTAATAAACTTACCAGATGATACTGATGCCACCCTCCATTGGCTGGGGTGTGGAAGCCACTGGTCTAGAGCACTATTTCCAAAATAAGTTCTACAAAACTAGTTCCATGTAAAGAAAATCAAACTTTTTGAATATTCCATCACCACCCCTTGGAGAGTCACAGTGCATATTATCTTATTTAAAGTTTTTAGGCAGTCTTAGAGTAAAGAAAACCAGTACTTTTCAAACTTATCATACCCTTATCTTAGGTAACATCTATTGGCATGTATAGAAGTAGTCTTTTTTAAAGCATTCTTTGGGAAACTCTACTGGAGAGAATAGACTTTACCATTTTGGGCTCTTGTGCTAGAAGTTAACTATGACATGAACTCTTAGAGAAGGTTTTAGAATAATAAATTGGCTTTATTGATGCTGCATCTTTTTGAAAGGTCCTCTAATCCTGTGGTCCCCAACCTCCAGGCCACAAAGCTCTGCCATGCCTTCCTTCCTCCACCCCTGATTGTGGAGAAATTATCTTCCATGAAACTCGTCCCTGGTGCCAAAAAGGTCGGGGACCACTGCTCTGATCCATACCTGTCGTTCTGCAGTTTAGGAGAGAGTGTGTGGAGTCAGTGACTCGCTCAGTGCCAGAGAGCTGGGGAAAGTATGTTGTAGCTGGTACAGGCCAAACAAAGCCCCTCATTATGCCATATTTTCTACACCCCAGAGCAGTATTTCTCAGCCCTGGCTACGTGTTAGAATCACCTGGGAATTTTTTCCTCCAATATGATGGAAACTTTTATACATACACAGAAGACGACAGAGTAATGCAGTGAACCTTCATATACTCACTACCCAGCTACTACAGGCATCAGCTTGTGAATACTCCTGTTTGATCCACACCTGCACTCATTCCTGCTACCTGCCCACCTGCTCTATTTTATAGTAAATCCTAGACATATCACTTCATTCAAAAATATTTAAGTATAAATCTTTAAAAGAAAAGGATTTTTACAACTTTTTAATTTGAATGAATTTTAAACTTAGAGAAAAGCCACAAAAATAATTCAGAGAGTACCTGTGTGTCCACCCCCTGCCCTCCACGTGCAGCTTCCCCTAAAGTTACCATCTTCTCTAACCTGCTCAAAGGCAGGATATTAGCTTTGGTGAAATACTAGTAACTAAATGGAGACCTTATTTTGAATTTCAACAGTTTTTCCACTAATGAAGGACTCCTTTTAAAAAGTATAGTCACAGTGCTGTTATACCTAAAATATTTAACAGTGATTCATTCAATATAGCTGAGTTGTGCTTTTTTTCCCCCTTTATCTAGGTGATCAAGGACAAGATGAGGTGCTTTAGAAAGTACTGGATGTCTGGGTCTGGCTCCAAACCAATTAGATTAAAATCTTTGAAGGGCTATGGGAGGGGTAAGGGGGAGCTTCGTGTAGATATTTATGAAAGTGATTCTAGTATGTACCCCGGGGGTGAGAACCAGTGTTCTGTAGCATTCATTTAAAAATATTAAACTGAGTTTAAAATTCTGTTTGAACAACCTTGGAATTCACTTTGAATAGTTAGTAGTTACCCGGGCTTATTGCAAAACAGAGAACAGTACTCATAGTACTGAGCAATATCTGAGTAGCTGTCTTAGGGCAGAGAGCTGTCTAGGGCAGAGAGCCCTAAAATGAACACCATTTTAGGATTTTCACTAGTGATTCAGTGTGTCTCGGTTGGTAAGTGTTAGCAAACTCCTGACACTCATCCATCTATGCTCACTTCAAACATAAGGGTTGAAATTAGTCACTTCCAAATGAGTGAAGTAGAGGATGTAGTTTTGATCAAATACCAACTCTGATATTATTCCAGATGTTTCCTGGAAATTTGGTTACAAGTGTGAGGAAGTAACATAATGCTATATGTGTTGAAAAGTAGGGGAACTTGATAACCATGGAGAATGCATGTTAGTCGAAGTGTACAGCCTGGATCAACCTCCATAAAGTTACAGGGCCTGTGGTCACTTACGTTTAGATCAAAAGGAAACATGGCTATAACCACTTCTGATTCAGATAAAAGAAAACCAAAGAGTTAGCTAAGCTTTCCTGATGTTAAATTTGGATGATGCTCTTGAATGAAAGCTTTACATGTCCAAATTTATGTGTGTGAGAGAGAAAAGATTAGAGGTGATTTCCTTCACAGTCAGAGAGTCTTGTGATATACCTGGACCATTAATTTCTTTAATAGCTATAGCATGATCTTCAGCCAGCATTGCTGAGCATGTGTTGCAGACCCACTTAATGGGAGGTCCTTTGGGGTTGCAGAGAACTGTGATATGGTCCCTGCTCTCTGAGGGCTTAGCCTCAATAAGAGAACAAAGATACACAGAGCCAAAATATGAAAGGTCAGGCACTACCAAAGGGGAGTGCCGAATTGTGGTTTATAACTAAAGTTCTGTAAGAGTTAAAGATCAGGATGTCCTGGCACAGGTGGGATTTAGGCTGGGTCTTAAATAAGGAAAAGGAAAATCAGGATTTGGGAACTGAATGGAGAGGAAGAGGGGGGGCATTGCTGGTGTGGGAGCAGCTTTGACAGTCTTAGAAGGAAATTAACTTTGGGGCTTCAGGGACAATAAAGAAACTGGCCTGAGTTTTCATAAGTTTGCTCAAAGAAATCTTCTCTGCTTTAAGAACCACAGAATGTTGGAGTAAGAAGGACCTTAGATACCCTCCAGTCCAGTGCTCTTGTTATTTAGATACACAAATTAAAGCCTATTAGAGAGTAAGCAATTTGCCCAGGGTCACAAAGTGCGATAATGGTCAAAATTAAATTAAAAGTGGATGAAGATCAAAAAGGGTTTTTTCGTTGTTGTTGTTGTTTCTTTTACAGGTGGTACACTTGAACAGGTTTCCAGGCTGAGTGGGGAGAGGCAGAAGAGACAAGATCAAAGATAAAGGGGACAAAGGGGATTCTTAGAGCAAGGTTCCTGGGGAGGCCAGAGAGGGAGTCAGGAGGGAGAGCCGCCGGGGGCATTCGTTTTGAGGGAACATTGAGGGCCCAGGCAAGTTTATGATGCGAGGACCCGGCACAGATCGGCCACGCCCGGGAGCTGTGTATTCTCCGTGAAGCAGAGGGAGGCCATTTGCTGGCCGATGGTGATCGGGTGGCAGTATAGTCACGAGGGCTCAGGTGGGAAAGTCTGTGTTTGGTCTGTGGATTTGTGGGCAGTTTGCCAAAATGTTTCTGAGTGTGACCTCCATAGCCACGTTGCCAAGGTCCAGATCCTGGCACTGCCTCTGACTAGTGGTGTGACTGTCAACCAGTTACTCAATCCTCTGAGCCTCAGTTTCCTCTTCT